GGTGCATCTGAGCTTCTGATTATGCCAAGCGGGATCTCCCAACATTTTCGGCGGCCAAATAAAGAAGGGCTTCCTTTTGATCTTTTCCAGGATACGATAGATGGGTTCTTTGAATAACGTCACGACTGCTTCGTGGTACTTGGACTTATCCACCTCATTCACCGTGAGCCCTCGGTGTTCCCCTTGATTCGTTTTCTTCTTCTGTCGTGCTGCTTGTTCTACTGATGCCGCCTCGATGGGGATCTGGTTGTCCTCGAGGCGAGCGTATTGCTCAATCCTAGCACGTAAATCTTTCAATGCTGTGGTCGGGCGCTTGGTAAGTGACTGTCTCAACTTACTTTTCGGGCGCAGACCATGTTTGAAGGACATAACAGCCATCTGCTCACTACAAACGTTTTTCTCTAAGTCATTGTATTCTTCCCAATACCTCCTAGCATAACTGCACAGCGTTTCTTCCTGCTCCTTTCGGAGACCGAACAGTGTATCCGGCTCTTTTGGGATCTTAGTGTTGGAGACAAACCTGGCTAAGAACTCTTCGGAGAGCTGCTTCCAGTCATAAATTGATCCAGCGGGGAGTCAATCGAACCATCAAAGTTCGGTTTCTCCCAAGCTGGACGGGAAGACTTTGCACATCAGTGCCTCATCTCAACTCCATAGAGACATCATCTGTCTATAATGGCTAATATGCATCAGTGGGTCCGATTTTCCATCGTACGACGTGAACTTTGGCGGGGTGAATTTCTTTGGGGGTCTCATGGCCTCAATTTTCGGAGAGAATAGGGAGGAGACAAGCCTATCCAGTGCTCAGTGCTCTCTCTAGTGAATGGTACGGTCTAGATGATCCCGACGTTGTTCGTTCTGCTTGTTGCCAATCAGCCAAGTACGAAGGTATTGAGGAGGGTACTCGGTCTGTTGGCTAACCGTCTTCTGCCTCTTAGCCCTTCTCTGGCGTAACCCATGGGTGTGGCTGCTCGCCACTTCACTTTGTACTGGGATTGGCTGGCTTTGTTGCCCAGACTCATTTCTGGGGAACTTCTTCACTGGTGGACCTTTGGATAAGCTCCTCCGTCGCAACCGAGAGGGCTCTGCTTCAATCTTCTTTTCCGTTGGATCACCTAGCACCCTTTTAAGTTGCGCTTTCAGCTCCTGTATCTCCATCCCCATGGAGTCTATGATTCGATCTCTGTAATTCTTTTCCAGAAGAAAGTGATGAGAAGAACCTCCAACGAAGGGTAATCGATGCTCGATGGATTCGGGGGTCCGGTTATTGTTTCCAGTTTGTTCTTCTAGGACTGTTGGGAGTGCCAAGCATTTGTCCTTTGTCTTCTCCGTCTGTGGAGTATGTGTCGAATGTAGGACGTCCTCAATCCCCATCGCCGGAATTGAGTGCAGAGCTCAGAAACAAAGTGATCCATGTTCACCGCACCAATTGTGTGTATCGGATACCGCACTAGATGAAAGTGGATCGAGGCTCCGCACTCGGTTGGACTATCCGGGAAATGAGGTCCTTGCAGCAAGAAGCACCGTAAGAGCTGCCCAGCCGGGGTTGGTCGAATAACCCCTCTAGTGTGGGAATCAGTGATCGGAGAAGAAGTGGAGAGAGTTGAGTTTGTAAGTAAGTGGGGTTTAGCTTGGATCAGTTACCTTCTATGTGAAGTTGATGTAGTTTATATAGAGTTCCTTGCTTGTTTTCCAAGTTGGTTTCATGGAGCTCTGGTGCTGCCAAATTTCCTTTTAGCATGGCCCCAGGTGGGGGACCATCTGGTAGTTGTCAAGAGGTGCTTATACTCATTGTAGTCATGCTGATAACAAACCACATTCCTTCGGTTTAACTGTTTCTGTGATTCTAGGTGTAGGGGACCAGCTGAGGTGGCAACTTGCACATGCATATACTCGTAACTTCCATGTTTCTTTGAGAGGTTTCCTAAACTCAGCACCGTTGTACCTCAGCTCGGCCCTTTGCGTGGCTATTATTGGGATGGGCTAGCCCATTCAGATATTTGTGTACGGATTCGGCCTACTTTGGTTCTGATGATGGGTTCAACTCGTCAGTTCGGCCCATAAAATTGGTCCTGCAGCTCGCAGCTGGAATGGCCTTTCCACTGCGAGTTGGGCCCAAGTGCTTGAGGATTTGGATGGACTGTTAGTAATAGAACTGGGCTTAGTTGGGTTGCCCACATGCTCATTTGACCCATTTGGATTTGGGCTTGGGGGATTGGACTGGCCCAAGGCTTGGGTCCGACCCATTTCTTATTTAGCCCCTTCATATATATATATTTTTTATAAAATTTGTGTAAAAAATAATTAGTTGTACACAAATATTTTTAAGAACAACTAAAAACAAAATAAAAAAATATGTTTGATAAATAGTCGAAAGCAGTTGCCAGTACATAGCAAAAAGTAAATAGATATAGTAACTAGTATTGAGAGTAGCTCGTTAGTGCTCATTGATAGTAGATCGGAAGGTGAGTAGAGGTGCCGGAGGCTAGTGGTGATTATTGATGGGAGGTGGAAGGTAGGAAAGATTGACAACTTGTTTTTAAAAACAAGTGAAAAATATATATTTTTAGTTTCAAAAACATTTAAAAATTCTAAAATCAATTTCACTATTTCACAAACGAAAACAATAATATATCCAATAAGTTTCGTTTTCATATTTCCAACAAAACAAAACAAAACAAAAAAACAAAAAACAAAGAAATCAAAACATTACCAAACGAGGTCTAAGCACATGTTTAGTTCTATTTTCATTTTCTGTTTATTATTTTAATTTTCCAAAAAACACTGAGATATTTATAGAATGAAGGTCTCTGGGCCTGAGAATTGTGATTGCAAATTGGGTGAGGCAAGTGCTACAAAACAAAGAAAGCAAGGTCCAGTAAGTAACCAGGACATGTGGTGCCCATTGCCATTAACCTCTCAGTACACAAAACGACATAATCACAAGAAAGCATCCACAACACAACCATCTTGAAAACTGAAAATGAAAGAACCACAGCAACAATCCCACGTGGCACCTCTCAGTTGGCTATCCTCCAATACTGTGGATGGAACATCCTCCACTACTCTACTCTTTTAACTTTAACATTTCCACCATTCTCTTTTTACTTCTTGCTCTGCTGCCTGTGTTTTTTGTCAGAAACCGAGCGATTTGATACAAAGACGAGCGAAAAGGAGAGACAATGGGGAGTTTCTGCTTCTTAGACTCTGGTGATCTTACAATATTTCTTCTAGGGTTGGTGGTTGCCATGGTCATGGCAATGGCTTTCTTCATCATCTGTGTTCCTCCTCAACCAAGAAGAGTTACAGTTTATCATCATTGCTCTTGAAATTTCCAGGGCAGTCTAGCTATTTTATGTTCACTATTTCACTGTATCACATAACAATGCAACTCAAATCCAGGCATCACGTCTTGTAAAGAAGCATTTCATTTACCAGGTCGACCCCTCGGTCCCCTAGGTCTTATTCTTAGCAATGTATGATTCATGTAATTTATGTGTATGTCTGGCATTCAATAATTTGGGATTGGATGTGCATTTGTTGAGTATATTTATGAGAAACCTTGCTTTCTATACTTTACTTCTTGTGTATCAAATCGTTGATCCAAACACAACCTAAGACTTTTGTATGGTGGTTGGAATCTTTAATTTGTTTCGAGTCATATCTGGTGAGTATCCTTCACTCAAAATGCAGCCAGGGACAACATAATTACTTTCATTAAATGCATACAAAAATATGATTGTAATGAAGCTGACAAGAAAAAACTGTGATGAAATAATTGTAGAAAACTTTCCATTTTTCCTTTTCCTACACAAATCCCTCACGAAATCTATCATCCAAACATAGTCTTGAACAACTCCTACACAAATCCCTCACGAAATCTATCATCCAAACATAGTCTTGAACAACACATCATCAGCACAAGTATGAGGACAACATAATTACTTTCATTAAATGCATACAAAAATATGATTGTAATGAAGCTGACAAGAAAAAACTGTGATGAAATAATTGTAGAAAACTTTCCATTTTTCCTTTTCCTACACAAATCCCTCACGAAATCTATCATCCAAACATAGTCTTGAACAACAAATCATCAGCACAAGTATGGATAAGAACAGTAGTACCCATCAATTTAAAGCAAGTTTTGCAGGGAGTACAATTCTGAAACCAAAAACATAACTCATGGCAGTAACTGTAGCTACCACTGCTACAGCCATCTGAGCTAGCGCTTACTGCTTCAATCTGAATACCATTGAGGCTTCATCTGGCAAAATGTCAAAAAGCCATTAAAATATCCAATAAACCATACAACACAGTCAAAGATTTCTTACAATTTTCTCTTCTTCTTTAACATATTTTTCCGTAAAAAATCAAAAAATAATTCCGAAACACTTCAATTTTTTAAGGTGTTCTTTTCACCTTATGTTTTAGCCAAAAAGCCACTTCCAAACGAACCAACTACCTCAAAAAGCTGATATACTAACACCACAGCTGAATGGTAATATTAGTAGATTCACTAGGTCTCAACATTCACTCGAATCAAAATCTCTACTTGCCGGTAGGGCAGGGGCAGTAACGATGGGGCAAAGACCTAGATGAAGCAATATAAGCTCAACTTAAGACCCTAAAAAAATGAGAAAGAAAATTATCTCCATCCAGACACGGGCTGCATTAGAAGCACCGTCAACGTAGTGAACTCAGTTCAATCAAATGATGTCCTAGGCCGACCATGACATAAAAAGCAACAGCCACACCTATAATCACAGCTGTTGTGGCCCGGTTGCCTCCTCAATGCCCCCATGGGGGATGTTGATGTTGCCAACCTCTTCTTCGGCAAATTCTCATTTGTCGTGTCCAGCCTGAAATTAGACTCAAAACAAAAGTAACTGCAAAATACTAAGTTCAGAAATTTCTACCCCTCTCATGATGCATATAGTTGTCCAGCCAAAACAAAAAAATGATTAATTCCATATACCCAAAATAACTTCTGATCAATATTTTCAAATTTCACAAGCTGATTGCAATTAGGTAATAGCGATATTGATGCATTGACATTGAAATATACTATTCATGAAGGATGAACAGTCTGCAACAAAAGACGAATGATCGAAAGATAGAAAACCTAGACTATAAATGAAAAGCTTATATTCTGACAAATCCATTTGTGTTTGTAAATCTAGTTTTCAACCTCTTGCGATGGCACAGGAATTTCCACAACAAAAAAAAGTAAAATGTCGTCTGCTTTGAGTTCTAGCCAGAGCAAAGCTTTTCAAGGGCCATGTTCTCATCACCACCAACACTCTCCAACGTACTCCGAACCAAAGCTTCAGGGAAGCCCATCTCCACCAGTTTTTGCACCTGTGAAAACCCAACATCAGCTGTCAGAATATCTAATGTTGGAATTGAATTATGCAATGTAAATTTCTTCATAAAAATATTATACAAGTATTCGTCTATTGTTGTAGTAAACTTTGGCCCTGTTTGGGAATCACTAAATAAGCAGTTTTTTCGCTAAAAAGCCAGAAGCAAATAAGTTTGTTTGGGATGGCTTCCCTATAAAAGCAGTTTTTTTAAGCAAATTTGTGAAAAGACAATTTTACCCTCAGTACTTTCAGAAATTCCACCGCTTACCTACAGTGGCTCCACAATATCATTTGTCACCAAAAAGTTTTTAAAAACTCAAGAAGTCAACTTTTTTGGGCAATTACCAAACACAAAAATACTACTAAAAAAGTAATTGCCAAAGCCCACTTTAAAAGGCAAAAAAACAAAGGGTTAAAAAAAACTGTGCACCTTCTCCTCAACCCCAAGAGCTGATGTTCTAGCAAAAGTTTCTGTCCAGTAACGAGCTGTGGCTGCAAAGGTCTGGTAGTCCCTGAGATACTAAAATGGCCACAAGCAAACACTAAATAAAAATTAACAAGAAGTTTTTTTAACGAAGAACCAGTAAGTTACGGCATGGGAAAAACTAAAAGCATATAAAAAAGATGTGATAATCATTGGGACACTACAGTGTCCACATGCAGAACCTGATGTAGTACAATGTGCATGAAGAGGCAGTGAGACGAGGAAGGAAACAAATTACACCTGTTGTGCTACTACAGCATCTTGTGGATCATCAGGTTCAGGGGCAGAAAGTAATGCTTGTACTGAAAGGAGTGCTGTCTTTAGAGTGAGTGCAGGGCTCCATTGGTCCTTCAGGATGTCCAAGCATATCGCTCCACTTTGACTGCTGATATTAGGATGCCTTCAACAGGTAATGTATACACAGAAAAGATTCAGCATAGGTTTCTAGGGATCATAATGACCAAAAGTAAATAGCTTCAAGCTGGCACAAGAGAAGTAAATGCTACTATTGCTAATCTATCAAAAAAATGACCAAAAGTTCAATTCCTATCTATTTATGATGCATCAAGGAATGAAAACTGTCAACCAAATCATCTTTTGTAAAAGCCTACAAGCAGCAGATTAACTTAAAGCCATAATTTCTAGCCATTGACAGAAGGTATATTTTAATATTTAAAAGACATTGAATCCAATTGTGCACTACTTAGATATGCATTACCTTTCTTTTTCATAATTCTTCCTCTAAACCATATAAGCAAACTGAAACAGAGACCAATATCACAATGAAAAATCTTAGTCTTTTTGCTGCTAGAACGGAATAAACACTAGAACATCAAAGGTTTATTTCAACTCCAAAAGCAACCGTATTGCAAATATAACAGCTATTATGTCTTGGAAAGATCAGCCACCATAGATGTGTGTCAGCTTTGTGTGCCCCTAATCTACAGAGAAATGTTGACAATAACGCAATGTAATACTACAGATACTAGTCATAGAGAAGAAGATTTTCAAAGTTGTTTTGCCAATTTTAATAAGAACTAACAACTCATACTGCCAAAAAGTATTACTATACGGACCAGTCAAATTAAAGTTCCACAACTCATCTCTTTTTGCTAATCAATTACATTCATTCTCATTTAAAATGAAAGAAATTCTAGGGCTTCAAAGACAACTTTGAATATGTTAAAGTTAAAAGACGTAAATCAACAGCAAGCACGGAGCAATTTTTCAATCAAAAAAGCAAGGAATTTTTCTGTTTACTTTCTATCACCTGACATATAATGATTCCAAACAAAGAATTGGTATAATTACAACCATCTACCAATAAATCCACATTTATTAAAGGGTAAATTACACTTCTGACCCTATGGGGTCAAGCCAGAAAATGCGGTGACCCCTAAAGTTTGCCTTGTGACACTAAACACTCTTGAGGTCCATACCAAAGTGAAAAGGTGACATTTCCCTTTAAATTAATAGGGTAGATGTGACATGAGAAAAATTGATTTTTTGATTTAAAATTAAATTGTTAAAATTTTGAAATGAATGTTCGAGTACTAGGCACTACGGCACTGAAGTAACCCATGCCATACTCCCAGGAAAAGCTTGAACAACCTTCGACAAAAGGGTACCTGTACATTAATCTATTATTTTTCTCCTATCTGCTCAATTGTCTTTTTCCTAACTATATGCTTCTTCACATCATGCTTAAAAACCCAATCAAAACACAGAACAATTTAATGCAGTGCACCACTGCCAAAACAACCAATTAAAAGAAGGGAATTGCTAAAAACAGCCCTTATTGCTGTTAGTGTTCAAAAAGTAAGCAAAAAATGTATTATTGAAATGTATAAAACTGTTTTGGGATATGTAAAAAGTGTAAGAAGTGTAATAGAATTACAAATATTTTAGCATTTTGTGCTTCTAATTGACAACCGTTCAGCTGTTATTAGCACGATCCTTAAAAGAATAACTCCCAAAAGCAAAATGAGAGCAAGAACATACACAATGCAACCTGCATTACTTAATGGGAAGGAAAGTTAATAAATAATCTGAGAGTATCAAGTGGCGTTGTCTACGTGGTAATGCCACGAGGTGTTCCGAAAGTACCCAATAATTATACGGAATGGTAAAACATACATGAATAAAAATTTGTGTTCGTAATATCGTATTAAATGATGTCGCATAGGCAATGTCAAAATACAATTCATACCGATGATCTTTATTTTTAAAAAGAAAAGATTTAAGGTTACCACATTATTCTAGGTCTTTAATGAAATGATTATTTGCCACTAAATTTTTTTTCTATTTACATATTCTACCAAACTTCTAAAACAACTAAAGCCCCCAATGCCACACCAAGTTGGTTCGAAGATGGTAACACAATTTCTTCAACGAAAACACCATCAATGTTTATTTTTTTCGTACCTACTCTATAATAATAATAATATTATTATTATGAGTACATTTGTATATCACAAAAGTTTATTATCTCATATGTCATCGTTGCATTGGTAATAAGAAATAAATGGTGGCACTCTTTAAACCAATTCAGTAATAACAAATGAGATGATAAACCCTTCATATAAAAATGAGATCATTATAGCATCATTGAACTAAAAGTTATACTACACAAACTCGGGTGCGAGTGTCAGATATAGGTATGTGTCTAAGCGTCAGATTCCTAAAAAATAGATACAGATATGGAGATACGACACACGAAATATTAATAGGATATTCTATATTGTATACTAACTATATAATCTATGCATCATGATCAATACCGAGATAGTTAAAGTCTAAAAAAATTATATAACTACAAAAATGTTTTAATCTTATTATTTATAATGGTCAAAAAATTATATAATAAATGTTCTTGAGATATTATTTAATATTGATGTTTTTATAAAGAATAAATAATATGAAATAAATTATATTATAGTTTAGATATTATAATAAATTAGATTTTAAAAAAATATAAATTTATTTTGTTAAAATTGTTAAAAAGAAGAGAGAGAGAGAGAGAGAGAGAGAGAGAGAGAGAGAGAGAGAAGACGAGATCGAGATCGAGAGGGAGAGAAGAAGACAGAGATCGAGATCGAGATTGAGAGTGAGGATGAGGTGTCAAGATCGCAATCAGCTCCTTCTTGCATCAAATTCGCTTTCTCTCGCATCAACTCCTTCTCACATCTAATGCCACTATAAGTTTCTCAACAATACTTCTTCACTTTTCTCTTTTCTCATGTCAGCCATGTTCAAGAAAACCATGCTGAGTCTAACACAAATCTAACATCCACACGTGTCGTGTCTTGTCGACAGGTACTTTGCCCTAAACATGCGAGTCCATGTAACATAGACTAAAAGTAGATATTGTCCAATATCTTCACACATTAATATGCAAACTAAATATTATTAAGTACAATGATATCACCGATTAATAAAATATACATATTTACATTTAATTTACTTCTTAAATAGTTGCTACTCTCATAAAAAGGAAGGTCCATAAGTGATGATGTGGGTCCACTCCCCATATGAGTGAGAGTAGTTTACTTATAGAGATGTAAAGATGATATCACTATTGCACAAATAATCTTAACCCTATCATACTATAAAATTGTAATTTAAATATATAATAAATTTAGTTGAATTATTTGTGTATGCATATAACATTTTTTTAAATATGTTATGATGTATACAATACATGAGAATAATTTTAATCATTTTGTGCTATAAAAATGAAATAATGGCTACATATATTTAATTGTTTAACAAATAAAATAAAATAAATTTTTAGAAATACCATTTAATTTTAGATTATTATTTCTCCTTCCAATTTAATCATTATTTAAAACTACATAAAAATTATTCTAAAATTTGATTATAAATTATGTTGAGACATATGTATATCCAAAGAAAAAAAAATTAAATGTTATTATCCTATAAAAAATAAATCTAAAAGAAATATGTATGAAATTTTATAAGTATAATATTAAATTATAACATATTAAAAATAGAACTTTAGTAATTTATATAATTAATGATTTCATAAATATATATGTTTAAATAAAAATTAGAGTAGGGTGAGGGTGGGAACATTTAGTACAATCTAAATATCAAAATATTAATTTTTAAATAAAAATAAATAATTTTAATTTAATAAATGGTTGAATTATGAAAGATATGATTAAATTAATTGATGTAAGCTTATTCGTTATTAGAAAGGCTGTATTAGATTTTATATGAATGGGAGATTTAATTAAATAATAAATAAGTGAATGGAATCATTAAGTCTAAGCCTAACAAGACAACAATACTTGAAGATATTGAAGGTGATGATTGAATAGGGAAAAAGTGAGGTAAAAAGATGCATAACTATATTTATAGCTAAATTAGTAATTGTGATAATCAACATCACTGAGCCAAATTTCAATAAAAATGCAAAATATATATACATATATATATATATATATCAGTGATGGAGGTAATCAACACTAGCAGGCAATAATGATCAAGTGATTATAAAGGTGCAAAAATAATATTATCAAGTCTAGCCTTACAAAGTATATGCAGTAAACCAAAAAAAAAATGGCAATGATGAAGGCAAAATATTATCAAGTTGAATTTAGACAAATTATGCACATGTTTGAAAATGATCAAGTGATTTGAATGTGATCAACGATTATAAGTGACGGTGTTAAGTTTAATTCTGACAAAACAAAAGAAATTGATAATGAAAGAAACAATTAACATATAATATTGAAGAACGAGATTAATGAACCCCAAGGGGTTGGTCTGCTGGTGTGGGGGCCTCGGGGTGTGCTTCCTCCAAGGTCTCAAGTTCGAAACCTCCTAGATGCAAACAATTTCTTGCAGCTAGTCCATATAGGGTTTTGCCCTGCCTTTAATTGGGCCCCATGCTAGTGGACAGTGGGAGGGCTCCCCCAGATTAGTCGGTCCAGTGGGCTGGATACCGAGTTATCAAAAAAAAAAAAGATAAACGATAAAAATCAAATGTATAATGTGATTTCCACATACGGAGCACACACCAAACCACTAGTGCTATTTCTTTCTTTCCTTCCACACCCTCAATAATCGATGGAATGAGGGAAGAAAAAGGACATGGGATGTTATCTGGTGGTTTCGAGTTATGAATTAAGGAAGCGAAGGGTGTGGCAACAAGGGTGGCAAAGGGGATTGCAATGGAGTGGGAGAATGGGGGTGCTATGGTGGATTCAAGTAAAGGGTGGGGCAAGAGGCGAGGCTACAAAAAGGTTGAGAGAGGGGAGAGGGGAGAGGGGAGAGGAGAGGGAGTTGTGATGGAGCTTTTGGAAAGGAGAGAAATAGAGGTGCAATGGGGCTCAAGGGGAGGTGATAGGAAAGGGTTGTGGTGACAATGATGGG